TTTTTATATAATAATTATTTTATTTTATTTTGTTAACCAAACATAACTTTAAAACGAAAACAGCATAACAGGGTAGCCTTCCTACAACTAAAGCCAACACAACAACATTCCTTTGAGAACTTAGACAACAATAACCCAAAACACCTCTTAGGGAATTCAACGGAAACGCATGAAACAAAAACCAGAACTGCACATCAAGAGAAAAAATCTTACCCCATGCATGGTTTTATAGGCAAACCATACAGAAAGAATAAGATAGCTTCTCCACAAAGGACAAGTCCCGAACTAAAGCCAACTCTTGAACGAATCCCTCGATCTCCTATATTTGACATGAAAACCCGAGGCCTATCAGGAAAATCCTTTTCAACTTTCTTGTTTCTCTTTTCTTCATTTTTTTATTTATTATTTTTTTATTTTTTATACTATTTTTCTCTTTTTTCCTGTTTTCATTTAAGGATAGGAAAGCAGCTTACCATTCTCAAAAACTCCAGAGCTTTAAATCAAAGAAGAATCAGTCAATCACCAAAGCTGTACATCAAGCAAACCTTAGTCTCAGAAACCAAGAAAAAAGAGAAGAAGTTAGCCTCTAAAGGAATAGCAAGCAACGTTCCAAACGAAACAGCCCCTGACGGTTCACTGCGCCTATCTCTATTCTTTTCTGATCTGATATCCATAAGAAATCCTCACTCCTTGACAGGCTTAACTTTGCAAATTCGTCGGCCTTCTCATTGATCTCCTTAGGAATCTTTGAAACCCCCCACTTAATCGCTTTTTTCCAACTTTCAAGACTTATAATCTGCTTTCTCAACTTCCTTGGTGCCTTGCTTGGGTTTAAGATCCACTAGACAAAATTACTAGAGTCACTCTCCGCCTCTAAGCCTATAGTTCTTATCCATCTAGAGCCTCCAAATATCCTAAATGCTTCCTGAATGGCTAGGACTTCAGCAAAGTTAGCTTGCATGGTCTTAACTGCTTTAGAGAACATGACCTTAATCCGACCTCTCTTGTCTATCAAAACCCCCTATACCTCCCCGATCGAAATTCCACCAAACAGCCCCTAAACCCACCATGCAATTCTAATCTTGATGAGATCAAGGCATTGCTCACCATTCCATAATTTGCTTGAAAGACCATCTCATTTCGCACCACTCCAAATAGTCCAGATAAAGGCAACTAGCGTCAATCTCCAAACCTTGAAGTCTTCTACCCTAATAAGGTCATTCCATTTCAAGAAAAAGTTAATGGCCTTTGCTTGTGCTGTCCACTGAACTCCCCACTACCGAGCCAATCCTGTCTCCATATTTTCCAACTCTTCAAGCGTTCAAAGAACAAATGATCCACTGTTTCCTTCCTCCCTCTGCACAAAACACAATTGGCTACATCAGCACTTAGGAGATTTCTTTTAACTAGTTCTGCCGTAACTGCAATCCTACTTCATTACCTTCTAACAGAAGATTTCCACTTTGAAATGAACCACGGCCTTCCATATTTCCCCCAATGGTTTCCTTCAATCTCTTCTCGTGTCGCTTATTACACTATTAATAGCCATAAAACTCTCTACAATGATCACATAATAAATTTCTCATTGTTACTCAAAAAAAGTAATCCTTTAATATCCATATAATGGATTTTAGTAACAGTTACCCATTAAACTTCAATGATCATACGATTGGTTTTTAACCATTACTCATTACATATGATAAAATTAATATTTTAATATCCACATAATGTGTTCCAATAATTGTTACTTATTATGTAAATTAAAGCTCTTTTCAATAATAATACTCATTATATGCATTAAAGGCTGTTCTTGACTCACTATTTCTATCAAGCTCTATATATAGAACTTTCACGATTCATTTTCGCAAAACAAGATTTCTCGAACTAGTGCAAATACATTTTCCCCGGTTACGCACGAGGAAGGATTAGCACCTCTCGTGCACCCGTTTCACGAACCGTATCATTTAATCTTATGTTATCCTATTAAAACTTAAACCATTGATGTTTCCTTAATCTTTGTTTATTAGTTAATCCTTTATTATATTACTAGATTTAATCTTTTTATTCGATTTTATGAGTGCCCTTGTTGTAGTTGTAAAATGATATCATGATTTATCAATTTTAAATAATGAGAGCGACAACCTTGTATTGAAAAATCATTCGTAGACTATCCCAACGCTTTGGTGAAGTCTTGAAGTTTTCCTCATCTAGGGATATCCCTGAAAGAATAAATCTCATCATCGAAATTCCTGTCTCATTAACAAAATATACGTGGCATATTATGACAAGATAAAATTATGAGTGATGTCTACATGAACACGCTTAAACATGGTTTAGTTAATTCATAATTTATAGTACAATGTATTTAATAATTTAAGGTAATTTATTGTCTTACTTATTTATTTATTTAATTGTATTTATCTTTTTTAGAAACATGCTACTTAAGTCACTAGCCTTTAATTAATACTATGAGTTAATATATTTTATTTAGCTATAGATTTCTTATTTAATAAATAATTAATTATTTAATATTTAAATTTAAATTTAATTAATTTTATTTAGGGATAGTTGTGTAAGCTAATTAACTAACTATATCAATCTAGATATAAATATAACACTATATAAATTTATTTTTTAACATTGAAAACGATTATTTGAGTTAATAGGTATTGGAATATATAAAGTTTGGATTTATCCTGATGCTTTGGTGAAAATCCCCCTCGAATCCACACTTAAAAAATTCACCCTGAAAGGGGCAACTTTTAGCCCTTTCCAAGTGAAATCCCATCTTCGGATTAACTTAAAAATAATCGTTTTATTTATATCTTTATATGGCATCATATATTTTTATATTTATTATATTTACAAATATTTAGATAAATTTGTAATATAAATATTTCCTTTTCTCTTACTTACAAAACATATTTCCATTTATGATAAATATATTTTATTGTCATTTTATATTTCTTTTCATTTATAAAGATTCATTTATATTATTTATTATTATGTTATATATATATATATATATATATATTTCTTAAAAAACTTGACATGTTCTAGTCTTCTATTTAAGTTTTTTTTTTTTACTTATACATTCTCTTCCTTTTTGTTATATTTTTCTATATTTGATTTTTATTTTTAGCTATCTAGATCTAACATTATGGACATGTTTTATGTAGACATTTATCTTTGTTTTATATACATATTTCATTTATCTAAGTTTAGGTATTTTTAATAAATATTCCTCCAATCTAATTTCTCTTTTTTAAACTAGTCATTTTAGAAACATTTTTGTGATTTTTGCTATTACTCTCATCTTTGTATTTTTTGCGTTTACATTAATTTTCAAATCCTAAATAACACGTTTGGTTCATGGAATAGATAAGAATAGAATATAACAGTTATTATGTGAAAATAAAATGAGGTGGAAATAAAATAGAATAAGTATTACATAGTTTGATATGATGAATAGAATAAAATATAAATAATTATTATGACTTATAACAATATTTGGTTAGTAAAAATAATTTTGGAATAAGAAAAGAATAGAAAATAAAAAGATAAAAATACCCTTGATCATATATATATGATTTATTATTTTTTAAATATTAATAATTTATAATTTAATTAAAATATTAATAATTAATAATTTAAATATTAATATTTTAGTATAATTTATTTATTAATATTTTATTCATAATTTAATATTATTATGATTACAATATTAATAATTTTAATTAATTTCTAAATTTGAAATATTATTTTTTATAATTTATAAATATTTTTTCCTTTTTTATTCTTTTTTGCCCTTTTTCCTTTCTTCTTCTCCAAGGTGGCCGGCGTAATGAAACACCGATCTAGCGCACCATGTGGCTGGATCTAGCCACTGAGGCACCAAATCGGCGTTTTCTGTGGTTGGATCTGGCTGTGGAGTGTTAGATCCAACTATGGGATCTGGTTGAGAAACACCAGATCTGGTACTTCCCGTGGCCAGATCTAGTCGTGGGTGCTAGCTTTGGCGAGTACTCGGTTAAATCTTATCGAAAGTACTAAATCGACACTCTCTGACTATATTCGGTTGTGAAATTGCCTTCACCGTCGCAGTCGCTAATATT